GATAATATAGGAACTATTTATTTATTCAAAACTTCACCCAAATTCATAATAAAGATGCTATGCTTTACTATATATCCTAATTAAACTTCACAAAGTTACTTTGTTAAGTAGATTTTCTGTGGATCCGGATGGTTATGGAAAGGGCACTTAAGTGAGTGAGATTTCATACTCGAATTTATGAAGAGATATTGACTTGTGTTGTAATTTAACTACTACCATACTAACATTTATCTTGTACAAAAAAATGTAAAATTTTCATGACCTGTAACTTTACTGACCACATTTATTACAAATTACAAAAATCTATTCTAAATTACATACTACCAAAATCCAAGATAAGTATGAGTATTAGATTACAATATAAACTTCTATAATTCAAGATAAGTATATGTATTTAATAGGAAAAATTAATCTAAAGTCCCTGTTCTATTTTTAGTAATGGAAGAGATCTACAATATTATTATGTGATGTCTAAGATCCCTCAACCGAACACCCATATATCACAGAGAAATTTGACATACTTTGCTGCTCTTCTCCACACTTGTGTTTCTCTCTCTCCCTCTACAACATTCTCTCTCTCTCTCTCTACATAAACTATGTTGATTCTCTCTTCCTCGCTTCAAAGATACGTCTTCTCCACCATAGCTAGGGTTTCTTCATCATCTTCAGTCTCCTCGTCTTCCAATCTCAGCTTGATCTCTTGTTCGTTGCCTTTTCGATCGAGTGTTCGCAAGTTTTTGTGTTTCATGCTTTGCTGCTCTTCGAAAGCTAGAGGAATGGTAGAGGTGGTGCAGGACAAGGAGTCTGCGGTTGCCGTTGCTGCCTCCAGCTTCGCGGCAGACCTCGACCATTCACGTACATTGTCTCTTCCATCTAGCCCTTCTCCTTTGGGTTTCTTCTCCAATCACGTGGTGGACTACGCCACCGCTTTTGCAGCAGCAGCTCTGCCTCTGCCGCCGTAACTCTGCCTCCATCGCCAACAAAGAAGTAGGGGAGTGGTGGTGGGAAGGTGACGAGTGAGTTCATGTGTTGATTGCAGAAGTTGTAACGGAGAGTTGAGGAAGTAACTAAGATTTGGGGACCAAATGGAAGTCAACCATCCAAGATGGATTACAAAGAGGAAATAGGTAAAATCAGAAAAGAGATTATCAATTTCCATGGCGAAATGGTGCTTTTAATGAACTATAGCAATATAAACTACAGAGGTACTCCTTGATGTTCAATTCTTCCCAAATTTTTGAAATCTGTTGTAAGATCATATTTGATAGTTTGAGCAAAGCAAGTTGATACTATACTTGTTTGAGAACTGGTTTGATGGATGGAATTCGTGGAAAACACAATTTTCTTTGGGTTGATCAAAACACAAAGAAAATTATAAGCAAATTAGAGAAATTTGTGAACATATCAGAGAAATTTCAAATCAAAAAAATTCTCTGTCCTTTCCATAATTTATCTGGAGAGAAATTCTCTAGATCGAATTTTCTCTCGAAAGTCCAGAGAAATTCTTTGGATCGAATTCTCTCTGAATCGATGTTGAGGGACTTTATACATTATAAAAATATTGGGCATTCTTTATGTTATAAAATCTTAATACCAGTGACCTTAAAAAAAAAAAAAAATCTCCTATTTAAATAAGAGGGAAATTGCCAATAAGTCCTAGGGACTTTAATGGGAAATTACCCATTAAGTCCTATTGATAAATTTACTAAGTGATAAATTTATCAGTATCTTATTTTTATGAATAAATTTATCAGTCTTTTTGTTTTTATGAATAAATTTATAGTGATAAATTTATCAATCTCTTATTTTTATAGTGATAAATTTATCAGTTAGGACCTATAGGTAAATAAGTCTAGTTAATAGACTGATTGGTAAGTGCCCCGTTAATAAGGCCTTCATTAATAAAGCATTTAACTTGGCACCTATAAAAGGGATAAGCTCATCTCTATATTTTATTACTACATATCTATTCATATCTCTCGTGTCCCTCAATTTCAGATCCACATCAATGATCCGAACAATCTATTTTGTAAGCCTTGTAGTAAAGGTTATTCATATAAAAAATTAATTTTATTGAAAAATTATAAATACAAAAACAAATTGCATTTTATTTTATCAAACGAATGGTTTCAGTTGAAATCCTATTTACAATTCATTTTATAAAATAAATGTGATTTGAGGCTATGTTTATAGATGTCTGATAAAATTAATTTTTGCAATGATGACCATTATTGTGGAACTTACGAAATAGACAGTTTGAATTATTGATATGAGTCCAAATTGAGGCCCACAAAAAAGGTATAAATGAATATGAAGATATACAAGTATGGAGAAGAACTCATCCCCTTTAAAATGTCACTCAAGAGCTGACATTGGACATTTAGCTATCTTAGGCCTTGTTTGGCATATACTAAAAAAGTTAAAAAATCAAAAAGTCACTATTATATTTCAGTCACATCATCTTATTTAAGTCACATCACCTCTTTATCACATTACTTCAAACGCAACTTATATTTCATAAAAAGTCAAAAAATATAATTATTTAGAATATCCCAAACAATCCCTTAATTGCTTCATTTCTTATGCTTGAAATGGGTAATTGTCATAACTTATTTTCTTATGTCTTGAAATGGGTAATTGTCATAACTTCATTTCTTGGATTATTTTTTTTCTCAATTTTTTATTAAGCACTTGCCATTAGTGTTCTCAACCAAAACTTGACGTTTGAAGAGATGAATTGCCCAGTGCAAATCCAAACTTTTTAGTTGTCAAATTATAGAAAAGAGTAGTTATGAGGGATGTATATATCAAGTTGTGTTGCAAAAAATACTCTCGAAATGGACATATATATTCAAAACAAATAGACTTAAAGTAACTTTGCCGTCAAAAAATTGATTGTTGATTGAAATGAATATATGTACTTAAATAAATGGACCTCAAATTAAATTTGCCGCCAAAAAATGATTGCAGATCGGAATGAATATAAATCAAATCAAATCAAATCAAATCAAGCCTTAAGTCTTATTAAATGGGGTCGGTTACATGAATATTTCTTCTTCACGCGGCCCTATCAAAGGCTATTTCGTTAGTCAAATTAAGTAGATTCATATATCTATTTATAACGCTAGTCAACGTTAATCTAGGTCTATTGCGTCCCCTAACACTCCCCTCTATCGTTACAACATTGCATCTCTTCACTACTGTCTCTATTGGTCTCCGTTGAATGTGACAAAACATCTTAATCGATTCTCTTTCAATTTATCTTCTGTCGGTGCTACTCTTACCTATTCGCGAATACACTCATTTCTAATTCTATCTTGTCTAGTCTTGCCAAACATCTACCTAAGCATCCTCATCTCAGCCACACTAATCTTATCTACATGTTATTTCTTGGTTGTCCAATATTCTGTTTGTCTAGAGAAGTGAAGATAGAGCTCATATGCTTATCTTTGTGAAGTGTGGATATAGCTTATATGCTTATCTGTGGATATTGTGGTTATACATATCTGTTGTAGAAGGTGGATATAGCTTATATGCTTATCTGTGAATGTGGATATTGTTGTTATACATATCTCTATCTGTTGAAAATAGAATTTATATGCCTATCTGTTGAAAAAGGGAAAATGAAAAGTAACTTGGACTTATAAGTCGGTTGACATAAATATAAGATTTATGTGAATATATCAGTGTTGGCCATCTATCAATTGCTAATATTTTAGTCATTGTTCATGGTTGGTTTAGTGTATTTCTACTAGGCTGTGGCTCACCCTATATGGGAATATCATTTTCAGGTGCAGGTAGCATGCCACCTCCAAGGACATAACTGGGAGGCTAGAGGCGGACATACTTTGTCGCTTAACTTTGATGTATTACATGTAACTTCAAGCCAAGGGCTTAATGTGTAAACGAGTTAGTACTCTTTTGTTGTAACCAAGTGTTAACTTGGAAAGCTGTAAGCCCGTTGGGCATTTTGTTTTGATGTTAACATGTAATACCTATGTAATGGAACTCTAATGAATAAAAGAATGTGATTAACTTTGTATATCAATGCATGTCTTACTCAATGGGTTTAATGTTATTATTTTGAGGGCGTTACATTAAATCATTTATAAAAAAATTTATATTAATTTGAGAATTGTAATTAACTAATTTATCATATTCATTTTTGAAAAAAATAAATAATTATTTTTAAAACAATACTTGTCATTTCTTTTTGTATATATATATATATTATTTAAATAATGTGATTATAATTATTGAATTCATTTACTTAAAAAAAAATATTCATAAAGATGACTTATATTTACAATAATGCTTTGCCAAATCATTCTCATACTATTTTTTTCATATAATATTATATAGGGGGAATTGTAAGAAAAAAAAAATTCACTTTAACTCTTGTTATAAAACAAATATTGAATTTTTAATTTTGTAACTAAATTTTAATATTTTGATTTATTTCCAATCTAAATCATTTATCTATTTTAGTTAAGTAAACTAATGAAAAAAATTATATTTTAGCTATTAAATTCAACTTAAGTATACATAAAATGTTTAAAATATCATTTTTCATTAATTGTAATGACTACAATAAATTTTTTATTGGTTTTAATTACCAAAAATAGACAGATAATTTAAATTGAAAAAAAATAAAAATTTATAATTTAAATTGACAAAAATAAAAATTTATTTTATTACAAATTTAAATATTAATTTTTAATTTAATTTTTTTTTTGGTAATGAATAAAAAAAATTTCATAATAAATTCGTGGGAGAGAGACTTTGTCGGTTTCCAAAACCAACTCACGTAGTAAAGACAGACATCAAAACCTATCCAAACTAGGAAACTCCCAATATTTATTTACTTGAAGCCAACAAATCTGAATCAGATTCCTTAAACCCTTTCTCTTTTTTCTTCTTCTTCTTCTTCTTCTTCTTCTTCTATTAAAAGAGCTGTTGATAATTTCTCGTTCTCAATTCAACTCAACCACCTCTCTTCAATGGCTTCCTCAGAACAGTGTTATGATCTTTCCTTGTCAACCCAATTCAACTCGCTCTTTTCAATGCCTTTCTCGTTCCCAATTCAACTCAACTCGCTCTCTTCATTGACTTCCTCATGGGCCGACCTTCCCGAAGACCTCCTCGAGCTCATCTTCAAGGACCTCACCGACTTCTTCGATCTCCTACGATGTAAAACTATTTGTCATTCATGGAGGTCTGCAACCAAGAAGGTAATCATCCAAGACATCAAAATTCCATTACTTTTAATTCCTTCCACAAAAACAAAATCACAAGAATATGCAACACTCTTGAGTACAACCAATCAAAGCCAAAGTACAACCACAACCAAGCTCTACACCATTCACTCTCCTAAAAGGCTAGCCCGAACCTGCTGTCAATCGTCTTACCATGGATGGTTACTCATGGCAGACATTGGGGACCCTTCTAGGGTTTATCTCTATAACCCTATTTCGAGATTTCATGTTCAGCTTCCACTGTTGCCACAGGAGAGAGAGTACCCGACCCCTCTTCGCTTCATGATGACTTGTAGTCCTGATGATCCTAACTGCTCTATTTTAGTACTTTTCGATTATTTGGGTTCGCACAACGGGTGCGTTTGCAAACCAGGAGATAACAAATGGCGAAAAAACATTGTTAACATGGGCTCGTATGAGGACATGATATACTACAATGGAGAACTCTATGCCATTGACAAGTACGGGACGCTTAAGAAATTGAAGTATGGAGGAGGAGAAGGAGGAGGAGATTTTTTTGAGGAGGAGGAGGTGGCGGCTAGGGAAGTGGACTGGAATGCTGCGTGGATATACTTGGTGGAGTCGGATTCAGGGGATCTGGTCATGGTGGTGAGGCAAGTTATGTCATTGACAACCACCCTGTCGTTCAAGGCTTTTAAATTAAATTGGAGAAAAGGTGTTTGGGAAGAGGTTAATAACTTTGGCGATCGAGCCCTTCTTTTAGCGCACAATGATTCAGTGTTTGTCCATGTTGGTAGTCTATACAAGCCTAACTGTATATATTTTGTGGATGATTTTTGGGTTGGTGATCATAACTCACATACTTATGACTATGGAGTTTATGAGTTGGGAAATCATAAGATTGAAATGATCTATCCTTCGGAGCAGATGGTGTTTGGTGCTTCATTCTACCGATGGTTTAATCTACACTAGAAAGGGAATATAGGTAATTTTTATTTTGTTATATTTTCTTCTTTTGGATATCAGTTTTTTTTTTTGATATCAGTTAATATGATGTTTTGTTTTTTTTTTTAAATTTTGATTTGAACAAGATGTATTATGTACGTTTTTCTTTTATATATAAGCATGATTTCGTCTCTATAGTTAATTGATTTTTGGAACATTTACAAATAATTCCTAATTTATGAACTTATATTTCATTAAGTCTTAACTAAGATTTTTTGGACCTTCAAGTTCCATTATTTGATTTGAGTTTTTTGAATTAAATTTTTTAAAAACTGAGTTTTTTGGTTTTCGTATTCTTTTGTTTTTAGTAAATATTTTTTAAATTTTAAATATTTTTTTTACTTTCTTAGATGCATCTTAATTAGATGTATCTAAAAAAGTAAAAAATTAGTGAAAAAATATTTTAAAAAATTAATAAATACATAGAAATACAAAAAATGTATTGAATTCTTGTATTTTTGGTATTTAGTGAATTTTTAAAAGATTTTTTTTACAATTTTTTTACTTTTTAGGTGTATTTATGTTAGGTGTGTCTAAAAAGTAAAAAAAAATTGCTTAAAATATTAAAAAAATTCAATAAAAATAAAAAAAACAAGGAAAATAAGAAGATAGAATTTTCTGAAAAGTATTTTTCTGAAAAATGAAAACAAGCAAGCTGATTTAATTTTTAATAGTCGAAATTGCCCTTTCAACATTGATTGTTCATCGTTTATGATTATCTGTAAAGAACATGAAAATTTGACATTTATTTTGATTTTCAAAATTTTAAAACATCAACTTTCAAATTGAAAAAAAAAAATTTTATGTGAACAATAAAAAAAAAAAAACTAATCAGTGTGTTTGGTTTGAGTTTTTTGAATTAAATTTTTTGAAAACTGAGTTTTTTGGTTTTCATATTTTTTTGTTTTTAGTAAATATTTTTAAAATTTTAAACATTTTTTTACTTTTTTAGATGCACCTTACTTAGATGTATTTAAAAAGTAAAAAATTTGTGAAAAAATATTTTTAAAAATTAATAAATACATAAAAATACAAAAAATGTGTTGAATTCTCGTTTTTTTTTTTTTGTATTTTTGGTATTTAGTGAATTTTTAAAAGGTTTTTTTCAATTTTTTTTTACTTTTTAGATATATGTATGTTAGGTATGTTTAAAAATTAAAAAAATTGCTCAAAATATTGAAAAAAATCAGTGAAAATAAAAAAACGCGGAAAATAAAAAAGTAGAATTTTCTGAAAAGTGTTTTTGAAAAATGATAACCAAGCATAGTGATTTTTTTTGGTTGAAAGAATTGAAAAAACAGAATTATTTTTTGTACAAAATTGAAAATTTTGTGCCTATAAAAGAGCATCATGATGGAACATTGATGTGCAAAACTGAAAAAAAAAACTTAAAAAATGAAAAACTGATAATGTTATTAATTTTAAAACTGAAAAAAAAAATTGTTAATATTTTTAGTTTTGTTGGATAGTTGAATCAAACCAATAAATAGAAGGGCAAAAATGTTTAATCTTATACTCTCTTTTTTTCATCAGTTAGTGAAACAATTATCTGGAACATTACTATGCAAAATTGATAATGTTCTTAATTTTAAAAATTAGAAAAAATTGATAATATTATCAGTTTTACTAAATAGGATTAATTGATTAAAAAAAATTTAAATAGGATTTGAGCTACCATAACATTTGTAAATAAGACTTTTAGATAATTAACTCTTAATTTTTTTTCCCCTTATTTATTTACATATCATTCTTCTTCACTTTTATTTGGGGAAAAAAAAAATCTGAATGAATGATAGTATGCTGTTTATATAATAAACACAAGTAATAAATAAAAGAATACAAAAATCTAACTAATAGAAATTCTCAATTTTGACACAAGTTAGCAGAAGGTACTTTTACAGGAGATATTACAATAGTAAAAAATGTATAGATCATATATATATATATATATGAGTTAAAAAATCATAAGATAGAAAAGGTCTATTAGTTGGGACGGATCGTAAATAATGCTTCATTCTATAAATGGTGATGTAGAACAAGTAGCCGAAAATTTCTTGGAACAATTAGACTGACAAAAGACAAGAAAAAAGATGTAGAACAAAATTCTATAATTTTTATATTTCTTAATTTTATTATTTAGAATTAGGTTTTTGACTAGGATTTTAAATAGTTTAGAATTTTTAGTCTCTTAGCTTTCATGGTTCTCTTAGGTTTCTTAATTTGTGTTGATTTAAGTTTCATAATTTATTTTAGAATCACTTTTCCTACAAGTATTAGGTATAGTCTATTATAAATAAGCCTACAAGTATATGTAATTTTGATTCATTCAATAATATTTTTTTGAGAGCTTTCTTCTATCTTCCTTGTGGATTCAAGAGTGTTCTTGTGGATTCAAGAATTCTCGTCTACTAGAACGATATCTAGTCTCGCGTGATTTATTCCGCTACGTCAGATGGTTAGGTATCATGAAAAGTCTTTCATGAAAATGATCATGAAAGATTTGTGACTTTTGAATTACACTTAGAATAAAGCACCACACACTAATCAAAGTAATTTAAGAGTCACAAATATTTTATGATCATTTTCATGAAAAAATTTTCATGATCCCTAGAAGATATATATTTTCTTGTTTTCTTTTTTTTTGGATGATGTTTTTGTATTTTATATTTTTATTTTATTTTTTATTTTTGGTTAGTCAATAACATCAACGATGGCTCTGGGAAGAGGGGGGGAATAATATAAAATTATAAGATTTCGCACTCTCAATTTCTTTTTAAATAATTTTAAAATTATATAGAATAATTCTCAATTTTTTAAACTATATAATAGTTCTCAAAATCATAATCCTCCATCCGTCCAGGATATTTATGTGTTTCTCTTTTATATAGGTTAGCATGATTTCCCCTCCATAGCGATTTTTTTTTTCCCTTCTATTTATTTACATATGTATCTTTCTTCAGCACTTTCCGTGGAAAAAGCACAGAGGATGTTATTTTGCACTTAATTTCCAACACAAGATACAGAGGATGGTATTTTGCACTTAATTTCTCTAACACAAGATACTTTTATGACAAAGGGTGGCTTGGTGGAAGAGGAGTAAGACTTGGGTTTGTTTCGTCTAAGGTCAACTTATGGGGCAAAAAAAAAAAATACTTTTATGTTGTGTTTGGTTCAGGGATTTGGGATGGGATTTAGAAAAGAAAAGGAAAAAAGTGTGTGAAACTAGGTGAAATATAAACATGTTTTATTTACATTTCACCTATATTTTCTATTTCTCTTTCTAAATCTCTCCTCAAATCTCCCAATCAAACACAGCATTACGAAGAGATGGTACAAAAGCAAAAACTGCAAAATCTAATTCAATGCGAGCCTGTGGCCATGGCTGGCACCTCCTCCTCGATGTGGGGATCAACATACTTCAATCGCTTAAGTGTGCCACGCTTATAGATGGCGTAGAGTTCTCCATTGTAATATATCATGTCGTCGATGTACCAACTCATATCGATAAGGGTCTTCCTCCATTCTGTGTCTTCTGGTTTGCAAATGCAGCCATTGTGTGAACCCAAGTGATCGTAGAGAACTAAAACAGAGCAGCCGGAATTGTCAGGGCTGCACGATGTCACGAACCTAAGCGGGGTAGGGTAGTCTCTCTCCGGCAGAGATGGAAGTTGGGCATGAACTCTTGAGACAGGGTTATAGAGATATACTGTACATGGGTCTTCAATGTCTGCCATGAGTAGCCATCCATGATAGGAAGAGAGACAGCGGGTTCGAGCGAGGGTGTTGGGTGAGTGAATACTGTAGACCTTGATTGCACTCACCAGTTTAGCATACTCTTTGGATATGTTTTGTTTAGGAGGAAGCAATAGCAATGGAGGAATTGTTATGTTGTTGCATACCTCTTGGCTGCAGATCTCCATGAATGACTGACAGTTCGGCATCAGAGAAGATCGAAGAAGTCAGTCAGGTCCTCAAAGATGAGCTCAAGTAGATCTTCCTGGAGGTCAGACCAGAGTCTACTTGAGGAAGCCATTGAAAGAGAGTGAGTTGAGTTGTGATGGGAACAAACAAGAGATGATGGGAAGCTCTTAAATAGAAGAAGGGGTGGGTAGTGCTTTTTCTTTCTAAATCCCTTATCAAATTTTTCAACTAAATACAACATTATAGAATTGGTAATGCTAAGAACACAGAAGACCAAATACAGAATGGATACTGATGCCAGGTTTGGAATTACCATTCAGAGTTTGTTTCAAATTAATTAGTAAATATCGATGCTTTCTGGACAGATTTTCTAATAACTATATAAAAAGCCAACATTTACCAAGCCCAACAACTAAATAGCCCAATAACTACATAAAACCCCTATAACCATACAAAAATATTAAACTCATGTTCATAGGAGTTGAATCTATAACCTTGCACCAGAGAGTGGTGATACACCGGCACTAGACCAATGACCTTGGTTCCATGGACTATTACTTTACTGGCCACATTCATTGTAAATTACAAGAATCTAATTTAAATTATATACGTTGAAAATCCAAGATAAGATAAGTATACATATGATCTCTAGAAATGGAGATTTTGATTGGTTTAGAGGGTCAGATTATCATTTTGGTTGGGATGACTACACTTTTTAGACATATTGTCCACATATTTGAGCCAATTATATTTTATGTATTATTCACACACT